GGAGCTTAAAGAAATTCCCCAAGGAACGACCTAGCCTGGCTCGTTGATGATGTTCGTTGTTTCCCCCTCGTAACAGGGATATAATCACACACTGTGTTGATTTCCCGACTGAGAGGAACCATTAACCCAGCTCGGGATATGTTCTGTAGCATAAATCTGGTTTAGGAGGAAACCAAACCTGTACACAGAAATCAAATTTAGAAAGAAAAAAAAAGGAGAAATCAACGAGAAACCTCTAAGAAAATACATTTCGCCTCATCCATGTTCGTGAAGGCCATCTAAGTTTCATTTGAAAGACCCCGTTCCGACAAAGCACCAGGAGACTGGGGACATGTCTCGGAAGAGGAACATCAAACGATTATTACGCAGCTTGCGCGGGTGGCACATTGCCTTTCTTTGCATCCTCTACCGCCAATTTTTTGGTTTGGAATTTATCGGCAGAGTGAGCTGATATCCGGGTGAGCTCGGTGACGAAAGACTGGCCCCAGAATGCGCTAGGAAAAGAAAAGGTCAGTTGGGAACGAACTACAAGGGATGGTCTGACTGGCGATTGACAAGGAAACGTACCTGGTGTACTTGGACACGTATCTGTCCAACTTGGCAAAGTTGAGAGCCCTCTGTTCGTCACTCATGGTTACGGCTTCTTGGTAGGCGCCTGCCAGTTCTTCGGTGTTCCAGGGGTTCACAATGATACTGCCGTTCAGACTCTGGGCAGCTCCGGCGAATTCAGAAAGCACCAACACTCCGTGGCGCTTTTGTTGGGTGGCGATGTACTCGTATGCCACTAGGTTCATGCCGTCACGGGTAGATGAGACAATGCAGGCGTCTGATACGGCGTAGAGAGCGATGAGTTCGTCAAAGTTGACGGACTTGTGCAGGAAGTGAATAGGCTGGAACTCGACCGTGCCTTGAAAAACGATTAGTCTTGTTCAGGATACCAGACGAAAATACTTACCAAACTTTCCATTGATCCGACCCACTAGTTCGTTCACCACGGCCCTCAAATTCTGATACTCCTCAACATCCTGTCGACTGGGAACGGCAACTTGGACCAGCACGACCTTTCCAACCCATTCTGGGTGGTCACTGAGGAACACTTCGAGCGCGTGCAACTTCTGGGGCACGCCCTTGATGTAATCAAGACGATCAACGCCGACCATCAATTTCACACCCTGGAACTTCTGCTCCAGCATGGCAATGCGCTTCTGGACCTTCTCCTTCTTCAATCCTTCCTTGAACTTCTCAGGGTCAATACCAATGGGGAAAGCTCCGCATGTGATAATCTTGCCCTGGAACTCAATGCCGTTGGGCGTAGTTGCAAGACCCCTAATACGGTTAGACATAAGCTCCAGGCTGTGGTAGGGTATACTAACAGAAGACGCGAGCAACTGCTCAGGAAATGGCGTGTGTAGTCGTAGGTGTGGAAGCCGATCAGGTCGCAATGCAGGACACCCAAGAGCAGTTCATTCCGCACGGGGAGGATTCGATAGATCTCACTACTGGGGAACGGTGTATGTAAGAAGAAACCGATTTTCACGTTCTTCTTGCTGTCACCGATCTCCTCGCGCAGCATCTCAGGAAGTAACATCAGGTGGTAGTCGTGAACCCAAATCAGGTCTCCATCCTGCACTTCCTTGGCGATGGCCTTTGCGAAAAGACGGTTCGCTTCCTTGTAAGCTTCCCAGGCGGACTCGTCGAAGGTGATCTCGCCAGGGTGGTAATGGAACAGAGGCCAGAGGATGGAGTCTATCCAAAAAAGCGATGCATCAGTATACATTCTATGGAGCTCGCGAGGAGGAGTTACTGACTGGAGAATCCATTGTAGTGTCGATCCGCCAGTTCATCATCGATGAATACTGGTACAGCACCGTATTCTTCCTTGAGGCGCTGGGTCACGACGGGGATCTCGGGCTCGGGCACCTCCAGACCGGGCCAGCCGTACCACTGGAATGTAGTTGATTTTGAGAGGCCACTCAGACCACTGACCAGGCCCCCCGAAGACATTGAGAAATCATATTTTCCATCATCAGACCGCTTGATTGTGATCGGCAGACGATTCGAGACCAGAAGCAGGCGAGCTTCATTCTTGGGCTCGATCGAAGGCATAATGGATTATCGGGAAGCGAAAACCAGGGGGATTATATTAGAGTAAAGGTATGTTGCAGGCACAAGCTGGGATTCCTGTACCGAAAGGCAGTTAGGACTCTATTTCGTAGGCGGGGAAACCTTGGAGATCATGACGAATGTGAACCAACCTTTTGGGACAAGTGGGGATATTCACTCCGGATGAGCAGCAGACTAGCAATCTGTCTCCATAGGTTTATACCAAATAGCTGCGAATAGTTATTCCAAACAAAAGGTCGAGGCTTATGAAGAGTAGAAAAAAAAAGTTGGAAGGTGACCAAGGCGGGGGGGACGGAAATGCGAACGTCACTGGAACTACGTGTGGACCTCAATATCGCTCACATGGAGGACTGTGGAAGATATGAAAAGCAAGGAAATATAAAAAGCAGGAAATATCTTTCTTTTATGTTTCCAAGTAATTTGGAAAGATATTTTCAGATTTCCAGACTGGTTATTTGGTCATTCTGACTCCGCATTGGGCCAGGAAGATCGTACAGGCTTCCTAGCCCAGCCAGTCAGGTGATCGTATTCAATTTTCACATGATGTCAATGTTTGGAGTTCTTTTGATGCCTTTCAGATGCCTTCTAGATGTATTATTTATTCTTTTTAGATGTCAAAATCCATATAGATCTTTCTAGGGGTCTTTTAAGTGCCTTTTTAGATGCCTTTAATGCCCATTTATAAGTCTTTTTAGGTGTCTTTCTAGATGTCGCTTAGATCAATTTGATATAGAAAGATGAAAATGTAAAAATCAGGTGACTGCCGCGCAGCTCGCATGGCCCAGTGGTAAGGCGTTCGTCTCGTACTTCATTTAAGATACTTAACGAAAGATCCCCGGATCGATCCCGGGTGTGAGCAATGATTTTTTTTCATCCTCCTTTACATTGGAAAGCTAAAGTTTGGGTAAAAAGGAAGCTTAAACCAGCATCTAAGATAGCCATTTTCGGCTGACTAGCCGTTACAATGGATGGATTGTAGCTTTGTGGTATTGTATGTGTAATTAGGGATATGGCCATCACAAAGCCGACCTCTCACTAGCAAGACTCCATTTCCCATCCGAATCAAGAACCGTCCGCCCCTCATCTTCAAGCTTCATCAGCACCTGCAACACACCATGCGAGGCAGGCAAATGCAAAGACTCAGGGACGTCGCGGTAAATGCGCTTGACCAACTCAATAGGCGTCCACGTCTGCTTGCTTTCCGGCGAGGACTCGCCTGCCGCGATATCAAGCTTGCCAAATCGTAGCACGCGGAGAACCTCGTCTTCCCGCTGCTGTCGGTGCTTGATGTATTCGGTGATCCGCGCGCCGGCGTTCTCCATCACCGCCCCGTGGCCCGGGTACCCCCGGCCTGAGGAGACGCGGTCGCGCATGCGATGCAGACTGCCGAGGTAGGTTTTGAGGTCTTCGAAGACAGCTGTGCCGTGGCCTAGGACGTCTGTGGGTTTGGATTAGATGTGGTACTATATAGGGGTATTGTGTATTATGTTTTATTGGTGGAGGGGAAGGGTTATATGGATAGATCTCGACAGAAGGACACTTACTGTCACCTGTGAACATAGCATTCTCCTCCTCGAGCATAAATACCATATGATCAACGGTATGCCCAGGTGTATGGAATGCTGTCAAGGTAGCACCTTCAACAGAGAACACTTGGCCCTCCTGGATATCCGTTTGAGCGGAATCAGGCTGATGTTTGAAGATCTGAGCTTGGGGACAGACTTTGAGCAGATCTGACAGCCCGTTGACATGGTCGGGGTGCCAGTGTGTCAGGAGAGCCTGGTGCACTGTTGCTTTTTCTTCTGAGAGCACAGATTGAAGGTTTGCAGCCCATGTGGGTTTGCCTTCTCCTGTGTCTATTAAGATCCGCTGGTGGCCGCGGCCAATCAAATATGTGTTTGTGCCTGGGTATGTGGTTATGATGTGTGTTCTAAGTTGGGTTGGAGTGTAATGCTTACCTTGGAGTGTGAACTGTGTTCCATTTTGTGCTATTGATCAGCTTGTCATGGTCTAGTGACATCATGGTATCTATGCACTCACCTTCCCCGGATTTGCGCCTAGAATTCTCACGACCGAGGCGCTGAGGCGCTCCACTTCTGGGAGTTGGACGAGCTGAGTTGCCATTTTTTGAGATGGGTGAGGATAGATGAAAGATAGGGAGATATTTAATAACTTGGTGCATATATCTGGATCCAGAAGTGCAAATCAGTGTAAACTGATGGTCGAGTTATCATTCAAGGCACTCTAAGTTTCTAGGCTTGATGCAGATAGATGGCCTCTGAATTTGAGAAGATATCGAAGCGCTAGATTTACCGAACCCAACGGAAGAAGATCTGATGGCGTCCAACTCAATCTTATACAATGAACGCGGGGCACAAATTGCTCAGGTGTGCCTCGGTAAGCTTATCTCAGCTTTTAATGTGTCCGAGGTGTCAACGGAATTTCTGTCTAATATGCCGAATATGGTTGAAACATTGCGAATCTACAGCCTACGATGGAATAAATAGAAAACAAAAAGAAATTGTGTATGCATGCCATTCCTAACATACAAAAACAGTGATGTAAAAATCAAAAAGAGTATATCCATTGAGCCCACCCAGATATCGGGAATCAACGCAAGGCCGAGAAAGCAGGCCTACAAAAACACAAGTTCATTCATAATTTTTCCCAGAGCGCAACTCCTCATATCTGCTCACGAAAAGGGGCATGGGCAATAGACAACCAATTCAATGGCTGCCGTGTCGCACCGTGGTTTTCAGAGGTATGTATCTGAATTGTTCAACACACAAGAGAACGTAGTTTACACAGGTGTCTCGGTTATAACCAAAACACTGAAGGTTTTATTGTTGGGGAGTCATGACAGAGAGTAAGGCAGTTTAAGCCTTGCGGGCCATGGTGTTGAGGGCAGAGCCGTCGCGGAACCACTCCATCTGGGACTCGTTGAAAGTGTGGCTGAGGGAGATGTCGAAGGCGGCGCCACCGTCCTTGGGGTGGACACGGAGGGTCATGGGCTTGCCAACCTCGAGCTGAGTGCAGAGGAGGTCGACCTTGTCCTCGGGGTTGATCTTGTCGTAGTCGGCAGGATCGCTGAAGGTCAGGGGAAGCATACCCTGCTTCTTCAAGTTGGTCTCGTGGATACGAGCGAAGGAGCGGGTGATGATGGCGAGACCACCGAGGTGACGGGGCTCGAGAGCGGCGTGCTCACGGGAAGAGCCCTCACCGTAGTTCCAGTCACCAATGACAACCCACTTGACGCCACGAGCCTTGTAGTCACGGGCAGTAGCGGGGACGGCATCGTACTCCTTGGTGAAGTAGTTCTTGACCTTGTTGGCCTCACCGTTCTCCTCGTTGGTGGCACCAATCAACATGTTGTTGGAGATGTTGTCCAAGTGGCCACGGTACTTCAACCAAGGGCCAGCCATGGAGATGTGGTCAGTGGTGGTCTTGCCCTTGCACTTGATCAGAATGGGGAGATCGGTGGCATCCTTGCCATCCCAGGCGGAGAAGCCAGCGAGGATCTGGAGACGATCGGAGGTGGGGGAGACAGCAACGCTGACACTGGAACGATCGGCGGGGGAGCCTGGTAGGTGTCACGGCCAGCATCGTAGCCACGAGTGGGGAGACCGTCACCAGAGGGAGCCTTGAGCATGAACTTGTTGCCATCCTTGTCCGTGAGGGAGTCGGTGATGGGGTTGAAGTTGAGGGTACCGGCAACGGTCATGGCGACAACCAGATCGGGAGAAGCAACGAACGCGTGGGTAGCGGGGTTGGCGTCGTTACGGCCAGTGAAGTTACGGTTGTAAGAAGAGATGATGGAGTTGGCCTCACCCTTCTTCACGTCCTTGCGGTCCCACTGACCAATGCAAGGTCCGCAGGCGTTGGCAAGGATGACACCGCCGTACTCCTCGAGGGTCTGGAGCTGACCGTCACGCTCGATGGTGGCGCGAATCTGCTCGGAACCAGGGGTGATGGTGAACAGAGACTTAGCCTTGAGACCGTGGTCAAGAGCGTCACGGGCGATGGAAGCAGCGCGGGACATATCCTCGTAGGAGGAGTTGGTGCAAGAGCCGATCAGACCAACCTTGAGCTCCTCGGGCCAGTTGTTGGCCTTGACAGCCTCCTTGAACTGGGAGATGGGGGTGGCAAGATCGGGAGTGAAGGGACCGTTGACGTGGGGCTCAAGCTCATCGAGGTTGATCTCAATGAGCTGATCGTAATTGGCACCCTCATCCTCGCGGAGCTCAGTGGCGTACTCGCGAGAGAAGTCACCAATGTGCTGACGCTTAGTGGCCTTCAGGTAGTCGTACATGCGGTCGTTGAAGGGGAAGATGGAGGTGGTAGCACCAATCTCGGCACCCATGTTACAGATGGTAGCCATACCAGTGCAGGACAGGGACTCAACACCGGGACCGTGGTACTCGATGATAGCACCGGTACCACCCTTGACGGTGAGGAGACCAGCGACCTTGAGGATGATATCCTTAGGAGTGGTCCAGCCGGACATCTTACCAGTGAGACGGACACCGATGACGTTAGGGGCCTTCAGCTCCCAAGGGAGACCAGCCATAACATCGACGGCATCAGCACCACCAACACCGATAGCGGCGGTAGCGAGACCACCAGCGTTGGGAGTGTGAGAGTCAGTACCGATGATCAGACCACCGGGGAAAGCGTAGTTCTCAAGAACGATCTGGTGAATGATACCGGAACCGGGCTTCCAGAAACCGATGTTGTACTTGGCGGTGGAGGAGGCAAGGAAGTCGTAGACCTCCTTGTTGATCTCGTTGGCACGGGCAAGATCCTTCTCACCTCCAACCTGGGCCTCAATCAAGTGGTCACAGTGGACAGTGGTGGGGGTCTGGACACGGTCCATGCCAGCGGACATGAACTGGAGGATAGCCATCTGGGCGGTGGCATCCTGGCAAGCAACACGGTCGGGGCGCAGCTTGAGGTAAGAAACACCACGTTCGATGTCCTGTCCGTGGGGGTCGTCAAGGTGAGAGTACAAGACCTTCTCGGAGAAAGTGAGAGGGCGCTGCAGACGAGAACGGACGATGTCGAGGTTCTCGGACATCTTCTTGTAGTTGATGTAGTGACCCTAAGATGTAATACATTAGTCGCTATTGCTTGGAAGCGTACTCGACACCCCAGTTCTCGGGCGCTAGAATGGCAGCCACTCACAGTTTCCTGGTTGGTCATCTCGACCTTCTTGTCGAGGGGGTTGGCGGTAGCGAAGGCCCGAGTTCCGGTAGCCTATACATTGAGAAAGTCAGTAACTGCAAGTCTCTTAAAGCTATGCCTGAGCTATCATGCACGCCGGCATATGTGCGACGCCACGTGTAGATGGAGCTTGGCAATGAGGTCACTGCTTACAAGACGGAACTTGGAGGCCTAAAGTCAAAACAGCAGTCAGTTTTCTATTCATCAAGAATCAGACTGGCACTCGAATAGAGCGCCATTCTGTGGCCACAATGAGCCGAGGGAGAAAGACATACCAGCGCACCAGCGCGCGCGAGGCGGGTGGAGATCATGATGGAAGCTCTATGAGATGGGATTGCACATCCAAGAGCTAGTTAACCACCTTCACCAAAGTATGAGAGTGGAGAGTAGAATGAGAGAGGAAAAGATCAAAAAGGAAGAAGAGGACGAAAGCTTGGTTTTGAGTGGGAGAATTCTACGGGGACCGGGAGTAGAGCCGTAACCGCTGTTACCACGGCGATACAATACGCTGGTATTGGACTAAGCCTGCCGCATGCGACGGCAAGAAGGCTGGGCAATTTGATAGACGCTGCTTATGGCCTATAATTCTTCAAGATTTACTATAATATATGATGGGGTTTAATAGGGATATACACCCGATTCTTTTTCTATCCATCTTCTCTTCCCATGTGAAGTCTTAATATTCAACATCTCGTGGGCCTTTTGTGTTCGTCTTGATGTACCGGGAACGTAATGACGATACAAGGCATGTGACGGGTATAACTCGGCCACCAATCACGGTGTTTCCAATTACAGGCCCCCTGCCAGTTCTCCTTCGGACCAAAGGGCTTTGGCAAGGTCAATGTGTTCTCATGTAACTCGGCCTGTACCCCGTGCTACCGGTTGACGCATGTGGATTTGATGATTTCATAATTATTGAATCTAGCCAATGATCAACATGTGTTGATGTTATGCTCTATTAGTAGAGTGCTTTCTGAACAATCCACCTGGTGGACGGATATTCCCATACACTCTCCACCTATAACTTGCACTTGATATTGACCTTATGTGCATATACTAGTATAGAAGTAGGTCGGAACAACATACCTAATGCAAACGTCATTAAATACACGTACGGTGACGAAATGGACTGTGCCGAGGTGAGCCGAATGGCAATCCCGCATCACCGCCAAGGTGCCGTGTCTGATCGCCAGCCAATCATAGCTCAGATATTTCAATCGTCCGCGCGACCCACAATCGGCGGAAATTTTATCTCAAACCCTCGCTATTGTCCCTGACCTCTTTGACCCGCTTTCCTCACCGTTCACTCCGGAAATCGGTGATAACCAATTTTCATTCTGCATCTATTTTGATACCATTATTCGGCTCCAGCTCCGAGGTAATTCGGCTATCACTTACAATGGGTGCTCTCAGGAAAGTCAAGAACAAGCGCCGTACTAGGTATGTTTACCTTACCTTTCTTTACTGATGGCACTGATTGCTAACCTGCTCACAGAGACTACGATCTAGTCGTCGCGGATATCAAAACCCAAGGTCATCTGCAGAAGTTCAAGGATACGAAAGAGGCAGAGGATCTGCCTGGTCTAGGCAAATTCTACTGCACGGAGTGCTCAAAATGGTTTGAAAGTGACTACAACCTCAAGGCACACGCCAAGGGCAAGAACCACAAGCGGAGGTGAGTGTATTCCCGACACCAAGTCGTCCTTCGCGTCGCTAACCAGTTACACGTTTTCAGACTCCGTATCCTGCGCGATGAACCTCACAGCCAACTGCTTGCTGAACGTGCTATCGGACTAGGTCTGATTGACAACGGCAAGCGCGAAGAGAACCCCGACATGATGAAGGAGTGAATTTAAGACCTTCGCCTTCTGGGATAAAAATCAAGCCTTTGCTACGCGACCACGATCCTCTTTTCAGCAAATCGACATACAACACACAAAAGTTTCCATACATCGAGACCTGTTCTGATGTTCTGTTCATGCATATCGGTGGAGTCTCACGTGAAGCAATTTTTTTTTATATTGCCGATACTCGCCGTGTTTCCGATTTTCCGTTTTGCGGGTGACTCGAAACCGCCGATAACCGGCGAAAACGGCATCTGGGCGAAATTTACCCCCTTACTAGCAATACTCGCGAGTAATTCCAATAGAAATCCCTCAATACCAAATAGAATCTAACCTAAATCGGCTTTCGGTAACTGCGTAGCTTGGCTTGAATGTTTTGTTTTGATATGTTTTAGTTCTATATTCTAAGCTTGGCCTCTTCAGGTTGAACATATTTATAGGCCCGATATGGGTTCTTGGGTTTTCACTTGTGCGCCCCAGGAATGATTAAAGCTCTTCATCAACCATTCATATGCCGCCCACTTTATCAGACGTTAGTTTAATCGATTGCTATAATACGGAGAGAACATACCTGAACGGCATTCACAATGAACGCTCTGACACTGCAGACTCCAAAGCCACGGTAGAATGCCTTGATACCCTCGACACGGTATGTCTCTTTCGCAATTTGGAAAGAATTGAGCATCTGGCGCTGTGGTCGTAGTAGAGACTGGCTCTCATCTGTAATTGTCTGTGCCTGTAGTCGTGTCTTGATCATATCCAAAGGAAACACCGAACCCCAAGTAACAACGCCAGCAATGCCACCGCAAAGCAGAATCTTCATAGCGGCTTGGTGTGAACCATCATCATCAGAGGTCATAAATCGTTTGCAAAGTTCGTAGGACCAGAAACTGCATTAGATCAGCACTAAATCCCCAATTGATACACTGGGGTATCCGGGTGTGGCGTGGTCAGTTCCATACTAGAATCCATAGCCAATTGAATCTCTGGCGCTAGTAATCCCGCCCCCAAAGTAAAGACCCCTCCAACCGCGCTTTCGGAAGATATCCTTGGCAACCGCCCACGAGGAGACATTTGGCCGGCGATCCAGCTGTGCCCGGCACTTGATGAACTCCGTTGGCGACGAGATGGTCCAGCTAGCCAGTCCGCCTGCGGCACCAGCCAGCCAGATCTTGTAAGGCGAGACCCCCACAGGATTGGTGGGATCCGTTACGGACCCATCCAATGCTGCTAAGGATCGGTTGTAAGCAACAAAAAGAATAGCATTGAGAGCTCCATAGCCTAAGATCGGAGCAGCCGCGCCTATAACGATGGTCAATTGATTGGTGGTGTCACAGAATTGATGCAACACGGACCTCGAACAAGAGTGCTTGCTTTTTCGAAGCGGCTCAATTGTGCCGTTGATGGATCGGCATGTGAGTGTCCCGCCTGCAGCCGGACTTTGATCACATCGAGAGGGTTGCCAATGATGATCCCAATGGCTCCACTGATGTAGCCAGCCCAGAAATCTGCGGCCATGAGAACTCGATCTTAAGAGCTAGATTGAAAATGATTGACACAAAGTTTGAATCAAACTCGGGCAACCCCCCAGATCTCCATAGCGGGGCCTCACGTGGGAGCGGGGTGATTACAGAGTTCTCGGAAGGGCCGAGGCAAAATAGACTTTATCCCGATGTACTTTGAATGCCGAACGTACCTCCACACCCTGGGCCCACCGAGGCCCAACTTGGACAGGAGTCGAGGATTACGGCATTGCCTGGCTAAGTCTAGGTGACCACTCGGCCTCTCCGTAGGAAAACCTTAGAAGCCGAAGGCGATTACCCGTAGTTCCCCGATACACTACAGAAGCTGGAAAGCTCAGGCTATATGCTATTCTTGTACAAAAAAGGTTCTTTCCGCATGGCTACAAAAGACGTCAAGATGGCGAAGTGAGTCAGGACTTGCGTCTGGAGCCTCGCAACTCGAGGTCTGTTTTTAGGATAATCAGTCGCAAACTGTAGAATAAGGTGAGAATCAAATTCTTTTGAAATGGCTGTTCCATATATAATATTTCCCTATGCATTCCAATACGATGTTGTTGATCGCACCTGCCTTTCAAAACCCTCCCGGGTGTTGCCAGAAGAGTGGACCTTTCGTACACAACATCACTATACTATATAACCTAGCCACCTACTCCGCCATCAGGGGCTCGCCCCCAATATCAATAGCACGATTCGAGAAATGCTCCGGCTCCATCAAAGCAGCAATAGCGAAGCGCCCAATATTATCTGGGTCAATGAGCATCGTTCTTTTCTCGGGTGCCATAGTGGTGCGAAGAATGCAAGATTCCCCTAGTCCAGGGAAATAGGCTCTCACACTGGGAGGGAGGTAATTTGTCATGAAAACCTAAGGACGGAGGATTATCCAGTGAACGAAGCCAGCTGAGCGGACCAGTCCTCCATAGCAGCCTTGCTTTCGAAATAGCCCTTCACAATGGTGGACATAATGCCATCGTGCCATCCGGGGAATTCATCTCGTTGGTCGACTGCCCAGACGCTGGTGTAAGCGAGGGTTGTGACAGTGCTGGATGCGTGAGCTCGCTCACGACGTTGATTGCCTGTCGCAGTTCAGCCCCATCGCCTCGGACATAGGGCGATATGTTTAGGAACACCGCTGTCAAATTCTAGCAAGCGAGCCGAAGTTGTTCGGATTGGTCGAAATTGCCCTCAACTAGCATGGCGCTACAACGCGCAGGTCGAGCGCGGCGGGCCGGGACTTCGTTCAGCCAGGGCTTGGATGCTTACACCTTTGGCGAGGAGGTGGCTGGCTGTTGCGCCGCCTTCTTTACCGGTTTTCTTTTACCGGTGGAGCCAGTGACGAGTATGGTCGGTGGCATGGTGGATGGTGATCCCATCTTAGGGGAAGGAATATGACTGAGGAGGTAGAGATAGCCGAAGGAATGCAGGCATAGCCTATATATATGCTATGGATCTAGTGCTTTAGTACATACATGGCGCGAACATATTTTCCAGCTTTTCTTGTTCCAAAAAGGTGCGGACGGTCATTCCAATTAGACCAGGAGTTGAACGGACTGACCAGAGATATTGAAAACCTACTTGCATTTATATACGTACCTGAATGCTGTAGGTGTAAAATAATGACATATCAAGTCGATATACGGAGCAAAGCAGTTTAATTCCAGCTCCACCCGGTATGACTAGGGCTTACATCTTACCCAATTGGGAACGCCTCTTCGTCCCCTGTCCTTTTTTTGTCCTTTTCCCGTCTCTTTTCCTTGAAAGGCTATTGTTGCTTTGTAACCTTCTTCAGATTATCAAATCGTCTTTGTAAGAATACAATTGCATTTGTCATATCTTTAGCCCCAGAAGTTAATTACTTGGAAGGTGAGTACAACCACATTTGTCAGCCCTGGAGTCGACTGTAGCTATGTAGCCTATTTAGACCACCTTTTATCGCGTCTCAATGTTGCCATTTCAATCCAACAATTCAACCATCATGGGCGACACTATCTATCTCATTACTGGCGCTAGCCGCGGAATTGGTCGTGGTATAGTCGAGAAACTCCTCGCTCGCCCCAACACCACCGTCATCGCAGCCGTCCGGGACCCCGCCGGTGCTTCATCCCAGTCCCTGGAATCTCTCTCCAAGGATGACTCTTCGCGTCTGATAATAGTGAAAATCGACTCCAAGTCTTCCACCGACCCAGCTGCTGCCGTCGAGACCCTCCAGAGAGAGCACGGCCTTGACCACATCGACGTGGTGATTGCCAACGCCGGCATTTCCGACGACTTTTCTCCTATCCACGAGGTATCCATCCCCGTGATGCGCGAGCACGTCGAGGTCAACGCCTACGGGCCCATCTACCTCTTCCAGGCGGTCTACCCGCTGCTCAAGAAGAGCGTGAAGCCTACATTTGTAGGAGTCGGCAGTCCTCTAGGCAGCATCACTGGCATGGAGCAGCGCCCGTACGCATGCGCCGCGTACGGCTCTAGCAAGGCTATACTGCATTGGATTGTGCGCAAGATTCACTTTGAGAATGAGGACTTTGTGAGCTTCGTTGCTGATCCTGGGTATGTGTCTGTACTGGAATGGTCGTTGTGTTGTAGAAATATTAATGAACTTGCAGATTCGTCCAGACTGACATGGGAAATACCGGTGCCCAGTTCTTCGGTCTCGAGAAGGCATTCCAGACGATTGAAGAGAGCGTCGACGGGATAGTGAAGACCATTGAAGAGGGGACGAGGGAGTCAGTTGGTGCGCAGCTGCGTGTGTGGGATGGAAGCCAGTTCCCCTGGTGATGCATAATATCAGAGTCATCTTGCATGACCTTTTGTTTGTTCCAAGTTCGACGCCTCTCTCGATATTGGCCTGTCTTCTTCCTTTGGACATCACAAAATGCCTGCTTTTCCTGATTTAGCTTTCATTGACACAGAGACATAGGTGATAGATTGGAAGAATCTCATTGAACGACTGGGTTGTGTACACTTTTAGCTGTATTAACAACTTAACGGTGCTTTTTGAGTAGAATACGACAAAGGGAGTTTTCACCACCCTGGTTATTTTGATAAATCAGCTTGGGCTTTCAATTAGAGCAAGGATATTAGAAAGCACTAGTCGGACTTCAACAACCCGAGCAGTCCGGGGCAAAGGACTCCAGCTGACTCTCATACAGTAGTGCTTACCAGTATGATGTGATATGAAACGGACCCCATAGATGGTAATGCCCCACTCGGGAGTTCAAGGCCTCCTATTGGCTCGCAAATACTTGACCTACCTCCGGCTTCACCCAATCAGCGGGCTCTAACGTCGACCTGGGGAGCTTTTGATAAGCAAGCATTCTAAGCTTAGAAGGCATTTAGTATCGTTTTGCTCTAAATTTGTAAGCTCCCTTTAATAAGCACCTGAACTAGAGGCCCGGGAGTAGTCGACTACATTAGAAATCAATGTCAGAATGGGCTATGGCCCCCCATAGGTCCTAAATAGGAACCGTGGTTTTTGTGATGGCCGAATCTAGTGGTAAAATTGGCTGTATTTTTCCTACAGTCAACACTATATAGCTGGACAGTCTGCCAGCTTGATAGGCATTGTCAATCGAATATTCATTCTCAAATCATCCGCGCTTCCATCCATACAAACTCAGTCATGTCTTCTTATCTCATCACTGGCGCAAGTCGTGGTCTCGGAGTAATTTAAAACGTCTTTGATTGCTTTGATGGCTATGGACTAACATGAATAGTTCGAATTCGTTCGGAATCTTGCTCAGAATCCAGATAATACTGTCATTGGCCTCGTCCGGAACAAGGCCGCGGCTGATTCAAAGGCCAAGGAAGAAGGGCTGCATAATGTCCACATGGTCGAGGCTCAGTATACCGATTTGGCGTCCTTGAAGGTGCGTAGACTTAACCGATAACCCATAAATATCATACTCACTTCTTTCAGAAAGCTGCGGAAGTGGTCAAAGGTATCACTGCAGGGGCTCTGGACTATCTAGTCAACAATGCCGCCAGCGTCTCGCACGTCACCCAATTCAAAACCCTGGGAGACTTGTATGTATCGAACCTTCGGTCAATGAGGAATAGAATACTGACAATAAGCAGTGATGATGATTTCGAGACTTTGGAGAAAGACCTCCTAGAATCGCTGGAAGTGAACCTTCTAGGTGTCATAAAGACAGTACATGCCTTTTTACCCCTAATCAAGAATGGCAAGGCCAAAAAGGTCATCAGTATCTCCACTGGTATGGCGGATATCGACCTGGTCAATGAGGCCGAAATCGCTACCAGCGCCCCGTACGCTATCAGCAAGGGTGCCCTGAATGTCGCCGTTGCTAAGTACAATGCCCTTTACAACGAGGAGGGCATTCTCTTCCTTGCCATTAGTCCTGGATATGTGTCGACTGAGCGAAACAACAGTATGTCAAACCAGTGCCCGGAGATTGTCATGGATGTGCATACTAAAGTTTATTTGCAGTTGCTGCACCGGGACCAGAAGATGCTGACAAGGTAGCTTCCCTTGTGGCCAAGTTCACCAAGTATGCACCGCACTTGCAGCGTCCTCTGACACCGGAGGAGTCGGTCACTGCTGTCCTTTCTGTTATCGATAAAGCCTCGGTCGCGAATGGAGATGGCGGTGCGTTCATTTCCCATTTCGGGAACAAGCAGTGGCTGTAAGACTAAACAGAGTGGAAGGAGACTGATACGCTACGTAACCTGAGTCTATATATATCGTTGAAAGTATTGTGATAATTCAATGATGTTCTTATATTAAGTCCCTTGAATATCTCCAGCCAATGGCAGCAGCCGGGCGAATATCTCACTAAGCGTCGCTAACCTCCCGATGTCTTATTTTTCATTTATTCCATCGTAACTTACCGTACATATGATTTCTCTTCTCTAAAAAAATCCCGTCTGCATTGCGCTCTGCATCGGAATGGCTCCAGCAAAGTCACGAGGTCCCTATCGTGTTGGAAATCCATCGAAACGGGGATGTTGGACATGTCGCGGTAGGAGAAAACATGTTTGTATGAATAGCAACTGCTGACCTCTCTACAGATCGAAAAGTCTCCTGTGATCTGAGGCGACCGGGGTGCCGGAATTGCGCAAAATTGGAACGCAACTGCCAGGGATATAGCCTACGTTTGAGCTGGCCAGCAGATGATTCCCGTAGATCCATTCAACATTCGGTTCAAAATACTTCAGATATTGTGTCCGATGGATCTGGAAACATGCATTTCATCAATACCTTGATGGCAGATGTTGAGCTTTTTTTGTTGCCTACTAAGAGCGTAGGTTAGTTCTTCGATTGCCTCGGACAAACAGACCTCAACTTGTGTTACTGACTTTGACTATTGATTTCTCTAGGAAAACTACCACTTCGAAACACATATATTTTCCCACTATTAAACTTGGCAAAAGTACCAGTTCGAGGTGATGGCAACCACCTGGTGACATTCTGTATGAGACTATCATGCTTCACAGGAAAATGAACCTGACTGACTGACTGACCGTCTCCACTACAGTTATGACAACAGTAATAAGCTCATTAGCCCCAATTCGAAACGATGGCTATAAGCTTTGGAGACTATTGTTCCAGCTTTCATTCTCTGATGACTCACCGGCTTCACTGGCCGTCCTACGAGCAATGCTGTCTGTGGCATCATTATATCGCTATGGCCATGGTGAGGAGCCCCTTCGGCTAAAGACTTTAGCACTGGAGTCTTTACACACATCCATGAGCGGGCACGCTACGGGGACAACAGAGATCTACCAGCATGCTGCCGTGGGTATGTTACTCTGCGCTTTTGAGGTATCTCTCCCATCTCAATTGTGTAAAATGTTGCTTATCAAATTAGATTTTTCAACCTTCAGAGAGCTCTTTTCAATGGCCGTTATACGTGTCCGGAGCTAAAAGCATGCTCCATTTGATTTGCGATGGCGGACACTCCAAGCTAATGGAAGCTGACCTTCTTATACTTTGGGTGCATTACCATGATACACTGGGCAAGTTTACCTCTAGACATTGGAGGGTCCAGTCTGCGGAAAGTGCGTCAATCTTCAAGATACCGGGCATGACTTCCACTTTGGCTTCTGTAGCGCATGACCAGGTATGCCTCGATATTTCTCCCACTGTTGGATTTGGTGCTGATAGCAGTGGTAGGTTTTAGGCATATTCGGGTGCTCGCTGGAAATGATAAACCTGATCGCCAGAATGTCGGAAATTAAGCCCGACAGTCAACCGCCTGGGAACATCCAATACACCGAGCAAGAAACCCTGGATTCCATTGAGCACGACTTAATAGTACTCAAGCAAGACACCACACATCTCATTGGAGCAAACTCTGCAGAAGAGGTCGAACATGGAAGCAAAATATCTAATCTCTACCGACTGGCGGCGCTGATCTATCTCGAACGTACATTAAAACATTCCTCTACCGGTGGACGAGTGGCAAGATGGTCAGCTGAAGCTTTTGAAATCGTTCAGCAGTTGGAAATATGCCAGCGACCATTCCCACTGTTCTTTGTAGCGTGTGAAGCGCATACGGATACACAACGGGAGGTAATCCTTGATCTATTGGAAAGAACACAGAAAATGTCAAACCAACGGAGAATGTATGTCGTACAGGGGATGATTGAATCGATGTGGGTGCAATATGATCTGTCTTTAGATCAGGGAGGGGCGAGCTATGTTGAGATGTTGAACACTGTCACGTCTTCGAACGGATTTCTACCCACGTTGGCCTGATATTTAGCTTTGGAACACGCCGTCGGAACGTACGAGTGGCCCATCTCCATACTCAAAGAGCGCCTCATTGTACAGGGTTAACAGATAGCAGTCATCGCAGATGACCGTATCAGTAGAATTGTCGCTTAACGACACAGTCAGGCTTTCGAGAACTATATTGCAGTAATATCCGCCGTCCATCAAGCAAGTTTTATTAAAGTTGTGCGGAAACAAATAGAATTCAAGACCAGTGATATCAATTTTATACGGACAAAAAAACTGCGGAGGCTAGAATGCACAATATATTACAGTCGCAGAAACAAGGTGACATCGCCCGCCAGAGTGTAGGGGTTCTTCTGTCAGCCCAATGCGATTAGTTATACACTGAAGTCGAGAATGAGAGGGCTCCACATCTTGAGGTAATAATTGCAGTAAACAAAGTAGACCGTCTTCAACTCAAATTTAAACAAGGCCGTAGATCAGTATGTCCGTCTCTATACAAAAACCTTTTCCTTCCAACTAAACCATGCGAGATGTTGGAATGTCAACGAGACGCTTATTTAGCGATCTCAGTGCCGTTGGTAGCACCGAGAGCCTTCTTGATGTCACTATAGATAGCGAACTGACCAGCGGTGATACCACCAACCATGATAAGACGAGTGGGGAGACCAGCGAAAGCACCACGGAAGCCGAGCTCACCAGCGATCTTGATGAGACGGGAAACAGTACCCTCACCAGCGGCAGCCTTGGTCTTGTTGATCTTGGACAGCATGGTGTCAGCAGGCTGGGAGACGATGGCAGCAGCGAAACCGGCAAGGAGACCAGCTCCAAGGTTGACACCGGTCTGAGCACTACCGGACATCTTAGATTTGTCGAACCGAGCGAAGATCAGCTCAGAGAACTTCTCGAAAGCGACGAACTTGGTCACGGTATAGGGGACCCTATTAATATGTTAATATTTTGGTTCTTCTTTTTGTTTTTGACGTCATAAGGCTTTTCTTTTGGGGATCAACGTACTGCTTGAAAAGGATAGGTCCGAAACCACCGTAGAACGCACCGACACCCTCATTCTTTAGGATCTTACCGAAACCACCGATAAGACCATTGGCGAAGCCGGGGGTGGAGACGAGTCGAATACGGGTAGCCTCAAGAGGGCAAAGGGCGATTGAAGCAAAGAACTCGGCTACGGCGGCAGAGACAGAGTAGATGGCAATGCGATTTTGGCGGGCATTCTCGATACCAACGCTGTTTACCGCCTGGGCCTTGAAGAACTCGTATCCACCGAACTTGAAGGCACCCTGGGCGAAGTAACCAGCGAAGGTAGGACCAGCACCAGTCAAGAGAGCACCAGCACCCTCGTTCTTAATGACCTGGCGGAAAGCGCTAAACATGCCCTTGTTGTAGGTGGTAGGGTCAAGCTGGATCCTCGTCTTGACGCTGAGAGATTGTTAGTAACCCGGCGATAGCAAAGAGCCGGCCAACTTACACATCGACGGGAGTGAAGGCACCGTGGGTGATGGAGCAGCAGACAGCACCGGCAAAGGCAAAGCGACCAATCAGGTCGATGCCCTGCGGGCCTTTCTGTATGGGGGCCGGAGCAGACATCGCGACGCTGGAGGTTTAGAGTGGAGTGGAAAAATTGTGGTGAGGGTGAGGGTGTGGTGATTGGAGATTGAAGAATAAAAGGGATTCATTCATTTACCCCGATCGCTCGTCACGCGAAGACACGTACAGGGCACCCGACTATCCGTCATCCCGATTCCCCTACTCCACTTGCGCAGTTTTTGTTCACTTGTTTCTTTGACCTTTCATTATACATAAATCTCAAGTAATTTCTATACACTGTTGAATATACATTGCCACCATCTCAGTGGAGTTTTTTAGGTCATTTACATATATCCCAAAGGAGGTCGGTTCCTTGATTCGGAGTGATACGGGATCAGTATCAGCGGAATTAAACCCGGAAACGCCGAATCTTACACCGAATCCTGGTAAGTCATGGGTTTGGCTCTATCATGTGCACACTGATGCCTAAGGCATCTCTGGTCCCAACTGTATCCCTTTTATGGCATCATTTTAGGCAGAAATGCTAGGTGGGAAGATGTTACGAGTTCCTAGGGGTCAAACAAAATAGCTTATGGGCGTTTAGAACTTTGGTGCTATAGTTTAGTGGGCTCCTAGGAGCCCATCGGGGTACTACTGTGTTTATCTTCGGCTTATAGATTACTTAGCAATGGCGCGCTGGAAAGACATGACGTTATGTATGTTCTTGGGTATATATGAAGGGATCCACGTGACTGCCTAAAAATAAAGATGAGCTTGGACCACCTTACCCCATTGGGTTTATTTTTGGGACGCGGCATTTTGGTGTTTGGGAGCCTCAGAACACGCGACGCGTCGACAAACTCGCACTTGCCTACAACATTGGGATCATTGTACGGCAGGAGCTTAATCAATTTGTTTTATCATTTTGGGACTAATGTAAGCCCTCATCCTAATTGTTTGCGACTTTCTATGCTGACTGACATGCTTGGAAGGTATCGACAACGCCCGGCCAATGGCGACGACAGCGTCAAGACTCCATTGCAACCGAGATCTGTGAACACTCAGAACTCGATCGATCGACTTGTAAGGCCATTCAAATGTCCGGGTACTGCAACACCGACTCGGGCATCCGAAAAACCATCGAGAAAGAGACGCAAGGTCAACTATGCCAATGCCGATGGAAGCGTGGAAGATGGAGAAGAGAAGCCATACACGAATGACGATCGTCTCGCTTTGGAAACAAGAGAGTGCAACAAATTTCCCGCGTACAAACCGAAGGACAAAGAGGTGGCATTCAGGTCACGATTTCAGGTTCCGTTCATTAACAAAGCCACTGGCGAGTACAGTTCCGGCCGGGTGGCTCCGACATTGGGGATGCGACGAGGCGCAACATTTGTGGTCAAGCCACTACATGACCCCAGTGGAGAATTTGCGATTGTTTTATACGACCCTACAGTAGACGATGTCGCCGAGGAACCTGCGCCTAAAAGCCTAGAGGCACCGACGGAGGATACTCCAACCTTGGATGAGCCAATTATGCATAAGAGTCTAGCAGACATTCTGGGGCTCAAAAAGAACGTGGAAGAGAGGCCAAAGGTGCCTGTCGTGATTGATCCAAGACTTTCCAAAGTGCTTCGCCCACATCAAGTCGAGGGTGTGAAGGTATTGCGTCTCGAGATAACCTGTGCCATGGGAGCAAAGCTGACACTACGCTTACGTCTAGTTCCTTTATCGATGTGTTACTGGACTGGTTGACAAGAATGCAAATGGATGCATCATGGCAGATGGCATGGGACTTGGTAAAACGGTGAGCCTGACCAACCCGATTTTGATACCTAGATCTAACGAACGCAGCTTCAATGCATTGCATTGATGTGGACGCTACTCAAGCAGTCCTCAGAGGCCGGAAAAACTACCATTCAAAAATGCGTGATTGCATGTCCTTCAAGTTTGGTTGGTAATTGGGCCAACGAATTGGGTGAGTTATGCGTGGTACCCTACTTATCTTTAGCTCGACTGACCATATCAGTAAAATGGCTTGGAAAGGACGCCACCACACCTTTTGCGATCGATGGAAAGGCCACAAAAGCAGAGTTAATAACGCAGATCAAGCAGTGGGCCATTGCATCAGGGCGTGGAATCGTCAGGCCTGTCCTTATTGTGTCCTATGAGACACTCCGTATGTATGCGGATACTTTGAATGATACCCCGATTGGACTTCTTCTATGTGATGAAGGTCATCGATTAAAAAACAAGGAAAGCTTGACATGGAATGCTTTAAATCAACTCAATGTTACTCGCCGAGTGATTCTTTCTGGAACACCTATCCAGAATGATCTGTCTGAGTACTTCGCTCTTCTTCACTTTGCGAACCCGAATCTCCTCGGCTCCCAAGCCGAGTTCCGAAAGAGGTTTGAACTGCCGATTCTGCGGGGCCGGGATGCCGCAGGCACAGACGAGGAAAAGAAGCTAGGGGATGAACGGTTACAGGAGCTCTCTGGGGTTGTCAACAAGTTCATCATCCGCCGAACCAATGAGCTCCTCTCAAAATACTTGCCCGTCAAATACGAGCATGTTGTGTTCTGCAACATGTCACAGTTCCAGCGTGGCCTGTACAACCATTTCATCAAGAGTCCGGAGATCCAAAGCCTTCTTCGCGGAAAGGGCAGTCAGCCGCTGAAAGCGATTGGCCTTTTGAAAAAGCTCTGCAATCATCCAGATCTGCTTGATCTGGCAAACGACCTTCCAGGATGCGAGCACACATTCCCTGAGGACTATTCACCTCCTGATACTCGGGGTCGCGATAGAGAAATCAAGAGTTGGTACTCTGGCAAGATGATGGTTCTCGACCGCATGCTAGCCCGCATCCGACAAGACACCAACGACAAAATCGTCCTC